AAAAAAAAATAGACAAAAGAACTGAACAAATACTTCTCAAAAGAAGATATACAAATGGCTAATATGCATATGAAAAGATGTTCAATATTTTTATTTGACAGAGAAGTACAAATTGAAAGCACAATAAGACACCACTACACACAGATTAGAATGGTTAAAATTAACAAGACTGATGATACAAAATGCTGGTGAGGATACTGAAAAACCAGAACTCGCATACACTCCTGGTGGAACTGTAAAATGGTACAGTTACGTTGGAAAACTTTGGCAGTTTCTTATGAAGTGAAATATACACTTATCCTATGATTTAGCAATTCCACTCCTAGTTGTTTACCTGAGAAAAATGAAAACATATGTCCACACAAAGACTTTTACATGAGGTTCACCGCAGCTTTATTCATAATAGCCCCAAACTGGAAACAACCCAAATGTCACTCAACAGGAGAATTATGTCAAGGACTGGTGCTATATCTATGCATTTGAATACTATTCAGCAATAAAAAAGAAAGAAATCTATAGTGACAGAAAGCAGATCAGTGACTGCCTGGAGCAGAGCCCGGGAGGACTGACAGCAAAAGGGCATGAAGAAAAATTGGCAGGATGGAAACATCCTGTATCTCCGTCGGAGTGTTTTTTATTGTATGTAAATTAGAGCCCAATTAAAATTGATTTTTTTTAATAAAAAGACCACCTGCGTTCAATTCCTGGCTTTGCCTATTACTAACTGTAACCTTGGGTAAATTATGTCACTTTTCTGTGCCTATATTTCCTCAACAGAAAAGTTAGAATAATAATACTTTCCTCATTTTTTGTTTTGTTTTTTGTTTGTTGCTGTTGTTTTTAGATAACCTCATGGAATTTTTGAAAGGATGAAATGAGCAAATGTATTGCAAAGGGTGGTAGCCAAACTCAAAGAAGGTTTCCAATGAGTCCTGCTGCCTGACACCCCTGCCCCCGTGTGGCCCCCTCTACATGGAATAGGCTCTGACCTGTGTCACCTAGAGGATATTGTCAAAATGACCATCTGTGGTTTTTGAGACTAAGTCAGAAAACACATTGAGCCTTCTGCTCTTGCATCACTCTTTCTGGGAGAAGCCACATCATGAGGACTCTCAAGCAGCCCTGTGGAGAGGTCTGGGTGGCAGAGAATCGAGGCCCCCTGCCAACAGCCGGTGCCAGCTTGCCAGCCACGGGATCCTTCAGTCCCAGTCAAGCCTTTCGATGACTGGCTGACAGCTTGATTGCGACCTCGGGAGAGACACTGAGACAGAACCACCCAGCCGAGCTGCTCCAAATTCATGACCCACAGAAACTGTGTGAGGTGATAAATGTTTATTGTTTCAAGCCACTAAGTTTCGTGGTCATTAGTTACACAGCAGTAAATAACTAATACAAGCACTGATGATAGTAGCTAACACTTACTGAGCATTTATCATGTGACCTACAATACTATTGCCAGTGGTAGGTGACAAGCTGGATATCCTGTTTGTCCGTCTAGAGCCACTGTCCTCCCTTTTCTGCCCTGCTCTGTGCCCAAGGAGACTGACCTGTTCACATGCAACAGTCTCCCATATTTTTTGGCTTTTAATCAGGTTTGGCCAGTGGGGAGCCCCCCAGGAGGAGATGGAAGGAAGAAGGAAGACCGGGATATTTATTCCTCTGCTCCCTCCCTGCAGAGCACCTCAGGCTCCTGCGTCCAACAGAAGGTCACAGATTCTCTAAAAGTGGCTCTCTCTCCACAGACCTCCTTCTGGGTAGTGGAACTGCCCCCTCAGCCCGCCAGGCCTTGGAAGTGACAGGTCTCCCACCGTAACTAGCTAGCTCAGCACTACACTATCCCTCAGGACTTCTCTACACCCTGCTCACACCTAAACAGTCCCTTTATTTGCCCTTCCTCAAGTTACCCAATTTGAGTATGCCATCTGTTTCCTTCTGAGCCTGACTGGCTACCCTAATTAAGATCCCCTACTTTAGAGGAGGAAGCAGAAATTCAGAGAAGCAGGGACAGGATTCAGAAGCAAATGGAAAAACAGCAGCCACCCAGAAGTGTGCTCTGTAGGCAAAGGGCCTGACTAAATGCTCGTTGAATGTCTGAATCAATGAATGAATGAATGAATGACTTAGTGGGTGCCCGAGAAGACCCATTAGCCCTACTTCCTTGAAGGTAATAGGTGCTAGAACAGGATGCCGGCACCTGAACTACTTCAGCCTGACGACTGATGACCAGCCCCCCAGCCCAGCAGAGAGTCGCTTCAGGAAGTCTTGCCTTGGAAGGATTAACACACAGCCCAGGACACCAAGGAAGCGGCCCCCCACCTCCGTGAGAGACTCAAGAGTTATTTTTGAAAAAGCAAGCAAGGCCTGCGGGCGGCCCTGGCAGAGCGCAGAGCGCAGAGCTGGAAGGGAGAGCCAGGAGCAGAGAGAACAGACAGCTACAGCAGAACCCACGCCCCGTCCCTGTGACGTCAGCCCCACACACTGTGATATAACATGGTGGCAGAAGGCGGAGGATGCAGGATGCCGCCCCTTGGGAATTTTTATTGTTGTAAAATATACATACCATAAAATTTATCCTTGGGAATTTTTGAGCTGCTCCCACTCCAGGCTGCATGACATTGGGGACTGGACTCCAACGGGAACAGGGGGTGGGAACACCAGCCAAAAATATTTTCGTCCAAATGGTGCATGAGATTTTGCTCCTCTGGAAAAATCCTGAAGTTGGAGGGGGAGAGTCACGGCTCTGAGGCAAAGTTGGGGGCCAAGGATCAGGAAACAGTTGACAACCCCTGCTCCTGTAAAACAAGGGGAAGGCAGACACGGCTGTGGGGCAGGGAGGAGGGGAGCAGAGAGCAGGGGTTGGGACCTGAGTCTGAGCTGAGGGCTGCAGGGCCAGAAAGTGAGCAGTCAGGAGGCGTCTAATTAACCTTGCAGTTGACTGGAGAGGTGCTTACAACTGGGGGGGTTGGGAGGAGGGTGGTCAGAGGCAGCCAGAGGGAGCCATCAAGTCCCCAAAATAACTCCTGCTTCTGCCGGAAGACTCTGGAACTAATCAAGGTGGGGATAATCTGAAAATCCATCAGAGAGAGAGGTTGCTGAGAGCCCTTGTGTCTCCAAGCAGGGATTGGAAGGGAGGAAAATTAAAAAAAGATGTGGTTTGCTGTGCGGGACTGATGGTGCCATCATGAAAGTGAGAACTTCCTAGGGCCTCCATCAGAGGGATACCAGTAGCTGCCATCTGTTAAGTGCCTACTGTCTACCCAGCACTGAAGCCTAATATGGCTAAGAATGTAAGCTCTGAAGTCAGTTGGCCTGGATTTAAATCCCAGCTCTATTCCTTGCTGTCTGTGTGATCTTGGACAAGTCACTTTTCCCCTATGCTAAGCCTCAGTTTCCTTATCTGGAAAATTGAGATAAAATGCATACCTGCCCCACAGGATAGTTGAGAAGTACTCAATGCATGAGAACTGTTAATAGGAATCTTCCCAGCAACCCTAGGGGTGGGGGTGGGGGTGGTAGGTTTCCATCTCTTCATCTTCCAGGGGAGTAAACTGAGGCATGTCCGTTTACTAGGCCCAGTGCCTCCTCAGTTGGGCAGGGCGAAGGGGAGCAGCCCACAGGCAGACTCCTGCCCCCCACTCACCACCTCTCTCCAGGCCCCATGTAGGGAGGCAGATCTAGCCTCCACGTGAGACAGATGGGGTCCAGTGGGGAGAACGTTGCTCTCGACTCACTGTGTGACCTTGGCTGAGTCCTGTCCCCTTTCTGGGCCTCATTTTCCCCAGTTACAGAACAAGAGGGTGGTAACGGGTGATTATAGCCCTGGAACATCTAGAATTCTCGCTCACTGTTTTGTGGGCACCCGTGCAGGAAGCAGTGAGGACCTGGGCAGCTGCGAGGCCATCTTTCCTCCATTGTCTCCTCCCTTCCTCTGGGGAATGGTCTAGGCAGAGGAAACAGCAAACGTGAGTGAGCATGGTACGTTTAGGGAGCTGCAAGCAGGATAATCTAGCCTGGTTTATCCATCCATTTGATTATTCAACCAGTGTTTATTAGTATGGGCCAGGCATTCTTCTAGGTACTGGGGACACACAGCAGTGAACAACATAGATGAAACCACCATCTTCAGGGGGCTCACATTCTAATTGGGAGAAATGGAAAAGCCAAGTCAACAAACCAATAACCAGGATAATGTCAGAAAGGGATGAGTTGCTATGTGAATAATAGCAAATATTTATAAAGCACCTACTGTGGGCCAAGCATTGTTAACAGGTGTTCAATGATTTCATCCTTACTGCAACCCTATGAGGGAGGTGCTATTATCATCACCCCCATTTTACAGCTGAGGAAACTGGCACTGAGATGTTAAGTAACTCGCCCAATGCCACCCAGCTAGGAAGAAGAGATTCAAACCCAGGTCATCTGGCTCCATTGTGCTGGCTGAAGGGGGGAGTATTAAATAGGGCAATTCGTTCAAGGATGAGCACTCTAAAAAGGTGACATTTGAGCTGAGACACGTGATAAGACGCCAGCCAGCCATGGGAAGTCCAGGAGGCAGAAGGTTCCAGATGGCGGGAACACTGAGTGCAAAGGCCCTGAGGCAGGTAGGAGCTTGACAGGTTGGAAGAAAAACAAGAAGGCCGGTTTTAGCTGGAGCAGAATGACAGAAGCGGTCACAGGAGTGCAGGGCAGACTTGTGGGGGTAAGGAGGGGGCTCAGGAAATGCTCCCAGGATCCTCCCAGGGACACCCCCAGGCTTGAGTCCAATTCCAGTCCAGGGAGGGGGTGGGATGTTCCTCACCCTGGTCTAATCCTGTAGGCCTGAGTTAGAACCCAGATGCCACCCCTGTGTGCTCTCAGGGAAGTGGTTTTACCTCTCTAAGTCTCAGTTTCCTTATCTGAAAAATGGGGCTAAATAATAATACCTACCTCATAGGGTCACTATGAGAATTACATATAACATGCCTGAGAGGGAGGTTTCTGGGGGCTGGAAATATTCTACATTTTAACCTGGAAGGTGGTACATATAAAATTTAATGACCTGTACACTTTAGATTTGTTCATTTTACTCTACATACATTATAGCTCCATTTTTAAAAAGTGCAAAGTGGGGCTGGCCGAGTGGCGCGATGGTGAAGAACTGGCTTGGGACGCCAGAGGGCCCCGGTTCGGATCCCACATATGAGGGCCAGTGACACTGCCCTCCACAGCTAAGATGCTGAACAACAGCTCAACCTGGAGCTGGGCTGCCATGAGTCGCCGGCGATGGCGTAGGCTGTAGCCCCTGCTGCAGTGGGTTGCCATGGGCTACCGTGTGTGTAGCCAGCAGCCAGCAGCCAGCAGTCAGCAGCCAGCAGCCAGCAGCCAGCAGCCAGCGTGAGCGGCCAGCAGCTGCAATGAGCGGCCGTCCAGAAGCCAGCAACTGATCTGCCTCTCCCGGGAAGAGCGCAATGTTTTGCCAACTTGGGCCAGTGAAGCAACGTCCTCCACAACTAGACTGAAGAACAAAAACGACAGCAACTTGTCTGTTCCCCTTCCCCCAATTCCCAGCACTATTCCCTTCCCCACAATTACCCAATAAAAAGTCTTAAAAAAAAAAAAGTGCAAAGTGCCTGGCCCATGGTTAGCACCACATAGATATTACCTAGTATTAGTACTGGGTGTTCCATAACTATTTGTTGAAGGAATGAAAACCTTAATGTGCTTCCATATTTCATTTAGCGTTTATTTGATTCCCAGTGCTCTCAGTGCCTGGATGTTGACGGGGCTCCAACTCAACGCATCCGGGACTGAGTTCTCCCCTTCCCCGAAGTCCTGCTCTTCCCCAAGGCTTCCTCATCTGCCCAATGGCTCAATCCAGAAATGCGGGTGTCACCCTGCCATTCTTCTCCCTCTCCTCCCCCAACCCCTCACAGTCCACCCATCACCAAGGCTGTCTCCAAAAATGGCCCCCAACAATTCTTCCCCTCCCTGTGAGGGCATGCTACCTTCAGTCAAGAGCTAGAGCTTAACCACGTGCAAAATAATGAAGTTGAACCCCTACCTCACTCCATATACAAAAATTAACTCAGTGGATCCAATGACCTAAATGAGCTACAACCACAAAACAATCAGAAGAAAACACAGGGGTAAATCTATATGACCTTGGATTTGGCAATGGATTTGTGGATTTGACACAAAAAGCACGAGCAACAAAATAAAAAATAGATAAATGTGATCTCAGGGAAAGTAAAAACTTTTGCACAACAAAGGACATTACTAAAAAAGTGCAGGGCCGGCCGAGTGGCTCAGTTGGTTAAGAGCTCGCTCAAGAGTTTGAGCTCTGAGGTTCGATTCCCGGCCCGAGCTGAGCAGCCACTGAGCTGCCAACAGGTGGCAGGATGGCTCAGCTTAAAATAATAATAATAATAATAAATTAATTAAAAAGTGCAAAGACAACCTATAGAATAGGAGGAAAAATTTGCAAATCATACATCTGATTTAGTATCCAGAATACATAAAGAACTCTAACAACTCAAGAACAGAAAGACAACCAACCCAGTTAAATAACAAGCTGGGTGTACAAATGGCCAAAAAGCACATGAAAAGATTTTCACCATTACTGGTAGTTAAGGAAATGCAAATCAAAACCACAATGAGATAGCATCTCATATCTATTAGGATGGTTTTAATTAAAAAAAAAAAGAAAATACTAAGTGTTGTCAAGGATGTAGAGAAATAGGAACCCTTATACATTGCTGATGGAAATGTAAAATGGTATAGCCACTGTGGAAAGCAGTTTGATGGTTTCTCAAAAAGTTAAACAGAAAATTACCATATAACCCACCGATTCCGTTCCTAGATATTGAAAGCAGGGACTCAAACAGATATTTATTTAACCAATGTTCACAGCAGCACCACTGACAATAGCCCAAAGAGGGAAACAACCCAAATGTCTATCAACAGATGAATGAATAAATGAATTGTGGTCCATCCATACAATGGAATATTATTCAGCGATAAAAAGAAATGAAGCACTGATACATGCTACAACTTAGATGAACCTTGAAAACATTATGCTAAGTGAAAGAAGCCAGTCACAAAAGGTCACATATTATATGATTCTTTTTACATGAAATATCCAGAATACGCGGTCTGATAATTACGTTCTCGAACTCATCCTAGAAAAAGTGCTACATACCTCATTACTGAATATCACTATGGTCACCTTCAAAGTACTCCTCTTGGGAAGCTATGCAGTGACACCAGTGCCTAGTCCACCCTTCAAAGCAATTTTGGAACTCTCTCTGGAATGGTCATCAGAGCTCTCACCCTATTACCCCTGATGTCCTGAATGGCATCAAAATGTCTTCCTTTCAATATTTCCTTTATCTTTGGGTAAAGAAAAAAGTCACTGGGGGTCAGATCAGACGAAAAGGGAGGGTGTTCCAATACAGTTATTTGTTTACTGGCTAAAATCTCCCTCACAGACAGTGCCGTGTGAGCTGGTGCATTGTCGTGATGCAAGAGCCATGAATTGTTGGCGAAAAGTTCAGGTCGTTTTCGTCTAAACTTTTTCAGGCAGTCTTTTCAGTGCTTCCAAATAGTCAACTTGGTTAACTGTTTGTCCAGTTGGTACAAATCCATAATGAATAATCCCTCTGATATCAAAAAAGGTTAGCAACATTATTTTGACTCTTGATTTGGACTGACAGAACTTTTTTGGTCGTGGAGAATTGGCTGACTTCCATTGTGCCCTTTGATTTTTGTTTCAGAGTCATATTGGTACACCCATGTTTCATCACCAGTGATAACA